CCTCCGTGCACCAGTACAGGGCCATCAGCAGGATCACGTAGAGACATCTTCCCTCCTGCAAAACAAACAGAGAGGATAAAGTAGTGCCTGATGGGTTATAGAGGAATCCTTTCACTTGAAAACACTTATCCCAGACCAGCAATACGCACCAATTACTCCTTCAAGGATCCAGTATTTCCCCCAAGCCCTTCCCATGAAGGGCAGCATTGCCCTCATAGATTGGGCATGGGGTTCAGGGCTTCCTTGGTTGCCTGAACCTCCAGTACGTTCCTGGTTGGCAATGCAGTGAGTCATCAGCTGGGAAGCTCTGGAAAGCAGGGACTGTTTCTTGCATTGAATTAGGGTGCTAATCCTTAGCGAGCACTGCTGCTGGAAGGAAGCACTGCTAATATCCTTAGGTGTCCGCATCATCTCACAGCTGCTACACTTAATATGTTTGTGCTTTCTCTCTGGCTTCCACAGACCAGGCTTTGCATGGCTGTGAGAAAACGCCTTTGAGAGAGGTCCAAGGGACATATCAGGTCTCCATATTTGCAAAAGGAGGCATAGAAAAAGGTTTCTTTTACTGGATCAGGGTCTCCGGAGAGATCTGTGTGAAACAATTCCAAGGCAACCCATCCCAGTCCCTACGGAAATCAGTAAATCAAGAGTTATGGTGCTGTGCCACTTCCTATTCGCCGCGAGCCTGCCCACATTCAGTGCCACCGAGCTCGGCCAAGGCTGGCAGCGAGCCAGCTCCCTCGCTGCGCCCGCGGAGAGGCTCATTCATCCGCTCAGGAGGCTCCAACGAGCCCAGAGCCATTTGTCATGACAGCCCCAGCCGAAATAATGAGCTGGGGAAAGGAGTCAGGACAAGTGCCCAAAGCGCAGGGATAAGAAAGCCCCAGAGCAGCACTGGGAGGATGGGGACTGCATGGAGGACACGGGAGAGCAACGGACCCGTCCGTCACCGCCGCGCTGAAGAGCGTTATTGTCAGTGCCCGCGGGGCAGCATGCCCACGGGGCTATAAATAACGGCTCAGAACCACTTGGAAGCTATTTATTTTGCCACTTTTTTCCAGCTTGTTGAACAGGTTGAATTGTTATTCAAGGCCACCTCTGTACCTCCGCTTGGACCTTCCCTCCCGGCACCAAGGTTGCCGGGATTTCTCTGGGAGGTGATGGCAGTTCCCCATCGGCCTTGACTTGGCTGGTTTGGGGAACAGCACGAACTGGGAATGGTCTGAAACTGCACTTTGGAGAGAAAGAGGTCTCCAACAAAGTGTTTGGGCAGGTAAGGCCAAGGCAAAACCTGCCTGGCCACCTACCAAAATTCCCTGCAAGCCTTAGCTGAACATGGTGGCCTCGAGCTCCCACTGCAAACACCAGCTCAGTGATACACACACCCAGAGATGCTGAAAAATAATCAAGATGGAAAACTGGAGCAGAATCTTCCTTGATACCCTGGATGGGTAGAGCTAAGTGAATTTAAGCTCATATGGATTTACCTTGTATCTGTAGTGAGTGTCTGCAAATAGGCAAGAGTGGGAGAACTTGTTGCTTGCTTTTAGCATTCCAGCTTTACATTTCACAAGCAATTCTGCTAGTAAAACCTAAGCGCTCCATTGCATGTGGAATTGAGAATACCAGAGGACCTAGAGTAACCAACTTGGACCTTTTTCACAGGGGAGCTACTGCTTCATGTGAGGTTCCCAAAACCTGCCTTTAAAGATCATCTGCAGTCCTAATTTTAGAGCATGATAAAGGCAGATATGAGATATTGTGAAGTAAAACCTTTACATTCCTAAAGATCATCTGACATCTGTCAGCTCCCACAAATTCCCTCTAGGTTTATTTCCTCTAAACCAGCAGGACCAGAATAACAGTCTGGGAGTGCTACCTCTTGCAAACATAAAGAATCATGCAGTGACATGTTTGCACACTAGATTAGTGATCTATTTCCCATGGCAACTGATAATTTCTCTTTACACTGGCTGCTCTTATACACTAAAGAAATAGCTTTGCTCTCATTAAGTTATTTTCCGTTTGCTCGCTAAAGGTCATTTAAAGCATTTTTTCCTCCCAATGGCACAATCTTCTCCAGTTTTCTGCAAGGAAAGTTTCACCGGAGTGACTTCAAAATAAACATGCTTTGCCTCTGAGAAAGGTAGAACGACCAAGAGTTTTTAACACCATCTTGATATAAGAGCAGATCAGTGAAGACTTCAGCTGACCCAACGAAATGGGTGAAACAGTTCAGAAAGCTAGTTGTAAGATAAGGAATATTTATTATCCGACATATGGAAAATGTTTCCATAAAATACACCATGAAGCTGATAATTGATCTTCATTGCAAAATCCAAGCCAAGATGCACAGATAAAACAGGGTAGAAAATTACGGTACAAAGCGGGTTTCTGAAATTGTGTAACCTACATGGATCAACAGCAAAGCACTTCAAAAAGAAAGATGAAGTATTGCTAATACTTAGCAAAAGGAACTTAGTCCATCCCAAGAGAGAAGAAATTGCACCAGTACTAAACAAGTTCTCACTTAGGACAATAATCAGAAATAGCTCAGATTTGGAGCAACTACTCCTCGGAATAGAAATTTAAGACTGCAAACTAATAATATAATAGAAAGGTTTCCTGGAGCCAAAGTATCTTGCAAGCATTGATTAATTTATGCTCCCAGCCACCTGCGAGCTTGGCTGCTATACAGGGACTGCGCTCGAGCGGCCCCGGGTTGTCCACATTGGCAAGAAGGGGACGCCCGCACGCGTGCGCCGTCGTCCCCGCGCACCCCGTGTCCTGCGATCCCTCTGCTGTGTCACCGCCTGCCAGGGGCGTTTCAGCTCCCCTCGCTTCCCTGCAGCCCTGTTTTTCCAAAGTCCCTACCAAAGTTCATGAGGGGAAAAAATGGCTGCAAATACGAACTTTAAAATAGGTCTTGTGATTGGGTTAATTTTATAACCATTTAATGATTTGCCGGCAAGGGCTCTGTGGCTACAACATCTCACCTTCCTGTTGCACAAGAGCCTCCAGGACGACCTCTGCCCTGCCAGACCCGTCTTCGCCGCACCGAAAGACCTGGGATTTTCCATGCGCGGGACTCGGCCGAGCGGCACGGAGGCCGGCGGCGACTCGCCGGGAAGCGGCCCGCGGGCGGGAAGGGGACGTCAGGGCTTTCGCCCGCCCTCGTGCTGTGCTGGCGCTGGGCCCTGCTCGAGGCACCCTGCCCAGCTTCGGTTTTGCTCCGATGACCTGGCCACATCACGGGGCCACCGTGGCCTCGTGTCTCAAATGTGGGCTGTCCTCGCGTGCCCTCTGCGAAACGAGCAAAGAAGGGGGCAAGCAAAGTCAGGGGATGCTCCAGCACCTCGAGCCCAACACCAGGAGATTTTCATTTTGCCTGCAGATGGAGTTTTCAAGTCTTTTTGTCCAGCTACTGTCATGAAGGGACATCTTATCTGTGATAGTCAAAGAACTAGATGCAGAAAGCCCAGCAGGGCTTTAGCATCTTGCTCACAATTTGCAGCTCAGGTTCCCCCATCACCTTATTTGCACGGCCTGTTCTCCAGTTAGATGGACATTTGAATCCAGTTTCTACCAACGCAGCTCCTGCAAACATTATGTAATCTGGACCTAAAACAAGTCCTGTTTACCAGCACTCGTGCCAGCAGACTTGTTTTGCTCCCACTGGGTATTTGCAGAGTGGCTAGAAAAGGGCCATTGCCACAGGGGCACAAGCGGTAAGAGCTGCAGTGAATGCTCGGGAAGATATTTTGCTCTGGAATTATGATAAAAAAGACAAAGCTTCGGAAGCATTTCTGTGTGAAGTTCTAGACATGTTTTGCAGAAATAAAGAATCATTCTGTCCACTTTATGAATGTCAGCTGAAGCTCAGAAACTGAGCAAATGATAAAGATCAGATAGGAAACATGATAAAAAATGGGCATCATAGGGAAAATCATCCCTGCCTCAAAGGTCTCAAGCCTGGGGCTCACATCTTCTCCTGGAGGCACCAGCAGATCCCAGAAGTTGAATCATTCATTAGTTCTTCTGCAAAGCAAGATCAGAACAATGTGATGATCCAATATCCTATAAGAGGTTAAAAGGCTCCCTACTCGAAGAAATCTCTACTTTAACATCAGCTTTTTTAAGATAGATCCACTTTTGGCTTAAAAAAGAAACATTTTCAATGATGGTGAGTCAGATACAAGTTGAATAAGCTGCTCCTATTAACCTCACTGTTAAAAGTACGTTTTGGTAATCTGAATCTGTTAGCTTCCCTGCTCTGCATCTTGTTAAACGCTCTCCCTTTATCCCCTAGCCCGGGCAGCCCCTATCCAAGCTCTGCTTGTGATGGATGTGCCTTCGAGATGGTGAACAAGCCACTCTTTGCCTTTTTGTTCTTTGAGAAAATAGGCCGAGCTCCTGCAGTCTCTCCCTGTGTGGCTGTTTTGCAGTCCTTTACTCGTCCTGCTCTCCCAGACTCCTCCGATTTATCAAAGCCTCTTTTGAACTCTGGAAATAAGAACACAGGGTGTTTCGGTGATAACTGCAACTAAATAGTGACCTAGGAATTCCTCACTGCTCTTACTCACCTTCTCATGTATTTAAACATAAAAATTCACATTGGTCCTTTTGGCTATGGGTAGCCAGTCTAGATAGCCATGTTCAACTTGATATTGCAGAGGCATTTTTAGAACCTGCTCCTCAAGAGGGGCTCCAGATGCTCAGGGCCTACAGTCACAATCCCCAGTTACACACGTCTACCATGAGGTGGGTGCAAATGGACCCTGTTCACCGGTCCACATGGCTCTCCCTTTTTTTTCCCCCCCACTCCTTTTGTGCCTAACACTTGAAAAATCGCTTCCCACCCTCAACACTCTGCCCAGGGATTTCCTCCTCAATCAGTTTTCAGTTTTCCTTTTCAGTTTTATATGGTTCCCAATTAATATTCATTCTTGTCAACTTCCCTTTTGCCCAAAGCATTTCTGCTTTCGCTTCCCCTCTGTACCCACTCCTTGCTTGCTAGCAGTCTCTCCAAACAGAAGCTCTCAGCGCGTATGGCAA